TTCCCTACCCCAATGTCTCCCAGAGTTTCCCTGGTGTTTTCCAGGAGCAGTTTTATAGTTTGAGGTCTTAGATTTAGATCTCTGATCCACCCTGACTTTATTTTTGTCAGAGGTGAGAGGTAGGAGTTCAGATTCATCTTTCTACAAATGGAGATCCAGTTTTGCCAGTACCATTTGCTGAAGAGGTTTTCCTTTTCCCACTGGATTAACTGGTACCCCTTGTCAAAAATCAGTTGGCTGTATGTTTGAGCATTTATTATTAAAGGCAGTTTAGTTGAATATTAGTAGTTCTGTATGTATATTACAAAGAAAAATGAGAGCCTAATACTCTGCTACATATCAGAGAAATAAAACACTTCTTTATAGACGTCCTTGTGATTTGTAAGAACTCTGTTGCATTTCCTTACACATGTGGTGTGTGTCCTTTGAACCTGAATATCTGAAGAAGCCAGAAGGCAGAATGGATTTATAAACAGATTGTGAGTTAAACTATTTTTCTCCCTTAGGCTATTCAGGTGGCATGGTGGCTAGAGCAGCTGGATCCCACATGGCTGACTGTGTGATTTGAGTCCTGGACCAGAGGCTTGAAAAATATGACAGTTGTGCATGCATGTGTACCCAGAACCCCAGGAGAGGAATGGAGGAGAAGGGATTGTGATGAGGCAATCCCCATGTAGGAGGTCATTTCTCACTTTCTCTCTCTGTGTCTCTCTCCAGCAAGTGCACACACCCTATTGCACACAAATTCTCCCTAAAGAGAAAGGGCATAGCTTATGGTTGAAGAGTAAAGATATACATAAATCTCAAAGAGCATAAAATTACTCTGTATATATAAATATACTATGAGATGACCTGACATATAAACCTTTGTACCTAAAACCTTAGCAATAACTATTCAAAGGAACACCAAATTTTCCACTTAAAAAATAAACAATTTCCAAATTTAGAACAATTAATAAAATATAGTTGGTTATTTAGGGAAAACCAGAGTACATATATTTTTATTTATCTATTTATTTATTTCATTTTCTTTTATACATTCAATCACATTATTATTTGACTTACAAAATGGATTTTTCAACAGGTGAACATTTCTCCCTAGTACAGTTGATAAAACTATAAAATATCTTCAATAGAAAATACCACATTTCTTTGTGCCATTAATGCTTTGCCTCCCTATTTTTCTTCTAAATGTCCTTCCTTAGACCCTTCTCTTTCACACACACTATATCTGGTATTTACATCTATATACTGTCTTTCTATATCCTTTAATCAATTAGTTTCAGTCATAGAATGCAGACATTTGGTATATATTAAGTGGGGACATACAATGCCTCTCCTTCATAGCCTGGCTTGCTTCACTTGGCAGTAAATGTTCTATATTCATCCACTTTTTGTCAAAAGTCAGGGTTTTGTTGTTTTTTATGGATGAATAGTATTCCACTGAGTATAAGTGCCACAGTTTTTCTATCCATTCATCTGTTCATGGGCATTTGACTTAGCAATTATGAATAGTGGCACAATAAACATCGATGTGCAAGGACTTTTCCGATTAAGTATTCTTCTGTCCTTTGGGTAGATACCAAGGAATGGGACTGCTGGATCATATGGTAGTTCTATTTGTAGATTTTTGAGGAATCTCCAAATTCTTCTCCACAGGGGCTGGGCCAATTTTCATTCCCACCCACACGGGAATAAGGGTTCCACCCCTGCCAGCCCTTATAATTTTTTGTTTGTTTTTTAATTCTTAGTCATTCTGACTGGGGTTAGGTGGTATCTCATTGTTGTTTTGATCTGCATTTCCCTTACAATGAGGGATGTTGAGCATTTTTCCATATGTCTTTTAGCTATTCATATGTCATCTTTAGAGAGTGTTTTTTTTTTTCAACTCATTCTCCTACCTTTTAATAGGGTTGATCATCTTTTTTCAGAACATATATTTTGTGTCTATTTTTATGTATACATAATATATCTATTAAGAACTATGAATAAATGGAGCAACAGGGAGACCTTATAATCCCAGAGACAGAAGGTAGGAGCTGCGGCCTGACATGTGCTGATGCCATTCTGCCCCTCACCTATTCAGAACCTACAGGCAGGCCCTAGCCAACCTGCTCAGCTTCAGCTCAGCAGCAGGGACCCCCCCCCCCGCCCCAACACCACAGAAAGTGTTCTACCACTTACACTGCACCTGTCAGATCAACCTCCATTCACACTGGAAGCAGTTAGTTCTGGTATATAAGAACCAAACACCTGAACATAGACTCTGGAGGAATTCTTTCCTAATAACTCCCTTAGCTCCCCTCTGAATACCAGAACCCTACACTCTTACCGTGGATCCCACACTCCCAACCAGAGTAGAGAAGGGAAACTGGCATAGAGCTTACAAATATCATAAAGAAGTGCAGGAGCACATAGCTACAGAAATATACTCCGAAGAAGTAAGAAATGAGTTTCCCACCAGACGACTATAAATCAAGGTAGAGCACTGAAGAAATAGGAGAAAATCAGGAACTACCTCTTCAGAGGATCACTCCTTACTAACAATAGATAAAACAACAGATTGCAGAAATGTCAGAGAAATAATTCAGAATATTCATTGTAACAATATTCAACAAGATGCAAGAGAAAACAGATAACCAATTCCAAGAGATGAGAAAATCCTTCCATGACTTGAAGTCATAACTCCAAAAAGAGACGCACTGGAAAAGAATCGATCAGAATTTATAGAGATTAAAAAAATGCAAGAAATCAAAACCTCACTCAAAAGTATCAACAGCAGATTAGACCACACAGAAGAAAGAATCTCTGACCTCGAATACAAAACCTCCAATTTAGTCCAAGAACCAAAAAAGAATGAAATAATAATCATTAAAAAATCAGAACAGCATACAGAAAATCCTAGACCCCATTAAACGGCTGAGTATCTGCATAATATGTATTCCAGAAGGTAAAGAGACAAATAAAGACATAGAAAACATCTTTTATAATATTAGCTGAAAATTTTACAGATTTAGAGAGGCATGTGGATATCCAATTTCCAGGACCTACAAAGGACACTAAACAGATATAAGAAGATCCTCTCCAAGGGATATCACAGATAAATTGGTAAAAATCAATGATAAAGATAAAATTCTAAAAATGGCAAGGGAGAAATAGTTACTTACAAAGGTTACTCCATTAGACTAACATAGAATCTTTCAGGTGAAACAGTACAGGCAAGGAAAAAATGTAAAGACATATAATAACTCTGACAGAAAAGTAATTTCAGCCAAGAGTACTATATTTAGCACGATTATCCTTCAAATGGAAAGGAAAAATAAAAGTATTTCCAGATAAACAAATGCTGGGAGAATTCACCAAAATGAAACTAGCTATTCAGGAAAAACTAAATCTTTGGGAAAGGTATGACACATTTCTGCATAGAAAAGCACATCATGACTTTCCCAACAACCTAATACTTAAGGGACTAAGACACCAGGAGAGCTAAAGAGAGACAAACAGAAGAGAACACAAAACAAGAAAAAAAGATAAGTCCACATATATTGATAATAACATTGAGTGACAGGACTAAATGCAGATGTGGGGCCAGCAGGTGGCGTGGTGGTATAGGTCACTGGACTTCCACATGGCCAACTGCAG